TCTTCTGAGCTCAGATAGAGGGCCGCGCTCCGCGCGGCAAGCGTCTCGCCGTGTTCCCAGGCGAGCATGCGCTCGCGCGCCTCGAGGCGCCCCTCGAGGTCGCGGTGCGTGCTCTCCGCGCGCTCCTCCAGCGCGGCCTCATTGTCGACGATCTGCGAGAACTCGCGTGCAAACGTGTCGTCCCGCGTCGAACTGATGGCACTGTTGTCGTCGCCGTCGGCGGCTAAGATCGCCGACTTGGATCGGTCCAAAGCGCTCCTTCGCGCATCGGCGCGGCGACCTGACGGCGATGCCCGCTGGCGACTGCGGCCAGAAGCAGCGCGCGCGAAAGTGAAGCCAGCATGGGAACGTCGAGTTCGTCAGCTGCCGCGCTGCGGCGGCGCCAATGGCTCAACCATCCCTATTGGCATTGGTGATGGGGGCGGCTGGCGCCTCAGGCGCAACAGTAGCAGCGCGGATGGCGGCAGCCCCGGCGGCCGCCGCCAACCGTATCTTCCCAGCCGTATTGGTCAGGACTTTCGGCTGAAAACCTGTGGTTGTAAATTCAGTTTACTGGTTACCTATGGCCACGAATCTGTCCGACAACTCCAGCTCGTCAGTGTCCTCCGAAACACCACCAAGTATGTAGAGCACCGCTGCTGGACGGATCGGAAGGGGGTGCTGTGAACCAGGGATTTGTGGGAGGCGGCGGCGGGATCTCAGAAAAGAGTCGATAGAAATGGATAAAAGAGTGATGGGCCGGCGTTGCCGCTGAGGCTCTACGCGTCCTGTGTGTGATCATTTGTCCAATGCGGCGTCGCGGCGGCAGTTGGTCTGAAACTGCTATCCCACTTCGTGGGATTGTTAACCTAGAATGCAAAATGCATTGCAACCCATCCTTGGCGTCGGCTTGGCCACTGACCCCTCAGGGATCTCGAGGCAGATGGCTGTGCAGAGTGCGAAATACGTGAATTGTATTCGATACGAGGAGGAGAGTGACTTTGCATAGAAGTGTTCACCCCAGCGTGTGCGTAAAAGTATCCACCCCAGGGGCCCCTCACGCTTCACATCTTCCAGCTCGCACTCAACCTGCAATATAATCTTTGCAAAACGGCGTGTGGGATTACTGCTTGACTAAATGTTTGCCTTGGTGGGGATGGCGGATTGCCCAGGGAAGTTGGGGCAATTATTCAATGAAACTGAAATGCAAGATCGGGGGGCCGACCAATGCACGCTGACCGCACTCAATAATCCCAGGAAGTAGGCCGCACCTCGTTGTGGCGTGCTGGGGCTCCCACCAAGCGGGGATGGCCACCGACCGCGCCAAAGAGCGATTAATAAACCCTCTGGTTCTGGTGTGCTAGCACTGCGACGCTGATGCGCGATATAATTCGTACCAGGGCTAGTGTTGTGCTGGCGTGCGCGCGCGTGCAACAACGCATGCGTTGCATTATTATGAATGTATATGGGATGGGAGTGCGCGCTAAGTCACACACGAGAGAGCCGACGATGGCTCAATATGGCTTCTACCATGCCTCCAAGGGGATCCAAGAGGGCCACAAGACGGTTCCAAGTGCTCTCGGGCACCCCCGCGGGACCCCCACGAGAAGCCCAAGTAATTCAAACACCTGAAAACAATCAGTTCAATTTCGCTTCCGATGCGATCTTGAAGCCTGAAGATGACCCCAAGATGGCCCAAGGGAACCCCAACCCAAGACGGCCCCGAAAGCGCCGAATATCGCCCCAGGGGCGCCCCGAGAGGGCACCAAGGGCTGGACTTCGAGGGCCCTGGAGGGGGAGATGAACGTTGGGACCCCTCTCGTTTCACCGACGCCCTTCCACGATAGCCTCAAGATGCCCTGCAGGGCTTACAAGAGGCCCTCAAGAGAGCCCCAAAGGGGACCCCGAGACCCCCCAAACGAGCTCCGAGAGGACCCCAAGACCCTTCAAAAGAGCCCCAAGAGGGCACATCTATAGCAACAGGAGGACCCCAAGTGGGCCCACGAATGCTTCAAGATGGCTCCAAGAGTCCTCGTCCGCGTCGTCCGTACCCTCGTCCTCGTACTCCTCGTCGTCGTCGTCCTCCGCCTCCGCCTTGTCTTCCTCGTCCTTCTAGTCCTTGTCATCACTGTTAACGTCCTCGTCCTCCTCCAACTCCTCCTCCTCCTTCTCCTCCTCCTCCACCTCCTCCTCCTCGTCCTCTCGTCCTCGTCCATATTCTCCTCCTCCTTCTTCTCGTTTTCGTCCTCGTCCTACTCCCCGCCCTCGTTCTCGTCCTCGTCTTCTGCCTCATCCTCCTCCTCTTCCTCCTTTTCTTCCTCCTCTTCCTCTCCGTTCTCATCCTACCCCTCGTCCTCGTCCTCGTCCTCGTCCTCGTCCTCGTCCTCCTCCTTGCCCTCTTCGTCATCGTCCTCGTCCTCCTCCTCCCTATCCTAATAATCGTAATTGTCCTTGTCCTTCTTCTCCTCCTTGTCTTCGCCCTCGTTCCCGTCGTCGTCGTCCTCCTCCACCTCTTCTTCCTCCTCCTCATCCTCCTCGCCCTTCTCATCCTCAACCTCCTTATCGTTCCCTCCTCGTCCCCGTCGTCCTCGCGCCCCCCGAGTCCTCGTCATCAGAAATTCCTCCTGGCTCTCGCCATACGTATCCTATTCTTTTCTTTCTTTTCACCGTCCTTGTTGCCCGCTCCGCTTCGCTACGTGTGTCCCTTCCTCCCTGCTCCCAGCAACTCTCATGGGCATCGTCCTCCTACTCCTCCTCCGCCTCCTACTCCTCTTCCCTAATCCCGGAAGGTGTCATCGGCATTGTCTTCCTACTCCTATTCCTCCTCCTTCTCCTCCTCCTCCTCCTTCTCCCCCTCCTCCTCCTTGCCTTCCTTCCCTGCGCAGAGCCCCTCCTTGCTACCGGAAATCTCTCCGTTCACACTTTCGTGCCCGCTTGACCACCGGCAGCAGCAGCACCAGCAGCAGCACCAGCAGCAGCAGCACCATCAACACCAGCACCACCAGCAGCACCACGAGCAGCGGCAATAACAGCAGCGCCTGCAGAAAGCGCCTACATAACCACCAGCAACACCAGCAACAACAAAAAGCACCCTACCAGAAGCAGCTGCAGGCACCGGCAGCAACACCAGCAGCAGCACCAGCAGCACCACCACCACCAACAACATCAACAACAGCAGCAGCAACAACAGCAGCACCAGCAGCAACAGCACCAGCAGAACCAGCAGAACCAGCAGCAGTAACACCAGCAGCAGCAGCAGCAGCCCCACCACCAACAGCACAGGACCAGCAGCAACACCAGCAACAGCAACAACACCAGCAGCAGCAGCAGCAGCAGCAGCAGCGCCAGCACCAGCAGCAACACCAAGAGAAGCAGCAAAGAACATCTGATTTCTCTGCGGCCCAGACAAGCCAAGCATGGACATCGAACTTTTCCTCCTCATTTTTCTTCTCACTCGACAGAGCCGCGAAGACAAATGTAGCCCCCCTCTCTCTTTCGCTGCGCACTGCTACACTTCCCTGATCAAGGCAACTCGCCGAAAGATCGTTTTTTGATGGGCTGGTGGGGATACTTTTTTTTTGGTTGCGACCGCGCAGCAGAAGGCAGGCGGCGAAAGGGGGTCTGGGGCACGGGCCAGCCTAATTAGCTACTAGGCGCAACGCGAGCCGGCTGGGCCAGCACTCAGAAGCGGCAGCTGGGGAGCAGCAGCGGCACGTGGCTGGTGGGGATACTTTTTCGGTCGCGTCCACCAGCGAAGGCGCAAGCGGAGTCAGTAGCGCTCCGGGACACGGAAGCGGCCTAATTAGCTACTAAACGCGCCGCAGGCCGGCCGGCCCACTCACCAAGCAGCGGCAGGCTGCGCATGAGAGATGGCAAGCTGAGGGCGTCCAGGGAAGCTCAGGCACTTGCAGCCCAGCAAAATGCTGGAAAAGCTGGTGGGGATACGCGGAACGGCAAGAATATTCGAACTAAGAGTTTCGAGTCTCTTCCCGAACATGTTCCCCGACACCGCCAGCGGGCCTTTCAAAAAATGTCCCACAAGCCCCTACGAGGCCCCCCATAAAATCCGAATAGACCTCCAAAAATCCCGCGAGAAGACACTCCCCTAAAACCCCGTACCGCGCAGAATTCGTTCAAACCGGGCTGGCCGGACACGTTCATTTCGTGCTGTCACGCCTCCATTCTGCCGACTTCCACACATCCCCGCGCAAACTGAGCACGTCGGGCTACGGGGGAAAAACGGTGTGAAACGGAGTGCCCTTGCCGGTGAATCTCGGCAAACAAATGTTTTGCATGGGTTGCGGGGAAGAGGAGCCTTTTGTGGTCTGTGAGAAGGTCACATCGCAACTTGCAATAGCACAATTTGTACGCATAGTTTTTTTTTGTTGTTGTTTTTTGTTTGTTTTGTTATTATATATAAAAATGGAAACGTCTTACATGTGTGGACATGTGAATGGTACTTGGATCCTTGTTGACCGTTTCCGGAAACCGGGGGGGTTGTTTCCTTGCGGCGGCTTGCCCGACATACGCGAACGACTGTTTGCTTTGTATCGAAAGTGATTCAATCACAGAATCCCGGGTGGCAGTCCATCAAGTTGATTTGCTCCAGCGACGTCTCGCCTCGAATGCGCAGCCTTGGAAATGCAATTTGCTAGAGAACGTCGTACTACATAGTCGAACATATTTCGCAATATTTCGTCTGTGCATCAACAGTAAACCGTACCATGAACAAACGCAGATCTCGTCATCAGTGCCGCATTTGCCTACGAAGCCGTAGCAAAGGTGATTCCATTCTGTTAAGCAATCATTGACTGATGCGGCAATCAACAATATAACAATGATGTGATGAGGTGAGTCAGATAGAAACTGGAACTCCAAACACTCCTGCGACAACTAAATATTCCACGACCACCGTGCGCATCAAGCTAAGCATTATTTGTGTCGATTTGGCCTTAGTTCAGAACTTCACACTCGCCTTCTCTACCAATCTTGCCAACATTTGCATTGGGCAATCCGGGGTCCTCCATGGCGTCGCGCCGCTCCTGCGAAAGGTGCCTGATGATTCGCTCCTGGCGCTGCTTCGCACAAGAGCAAGCTGAGGAAACAGTTCGCGTGACGACGGGCCCACCCATGTGCAGCTCTTAGCGGCGCTCGGCGTGGCTCTCGCATGTGCTGCGCGCCGCTTGGACGTGCGGATCGGAGGACGTGGAGCAGGCGCGGTGGAGCGCGCTGAATTCCCCGTGAGTCCACGATCTGCGTGAGGGGTGTGCCGAAATAGGTGGAAGTCCGCATCGCGGGCGCGCGTGCGACTGCGTCCACTGCGACCGTAACTCAGTTGTGGTCCCTGTAGTGCGACGGTCTGCGCGAGGGGCGTGGCGAGAGGGGAGCGTGCGCGCATGCGTTTGCGCCTGCGGAGGCCGTAGGTGGAGCTCCGTGGGGGCCACGACCTTCGTGAAGGGTGTGCCGAGATGGGTGCAATCTCGCATGCGCCTGCGCTCGCTGCAACCGTAGATTATGCCTATGCGGCCGCAATCTGCGGGAAAGGTGTGCCGAAATGGACCCGGGTACACATGTGTTTGCGCCCACTGAGGCAGTATGTTGGCTTCCTCGAAGTGCGTCAGGGTGTCGGAATGGGCGCGGGCTCGCGTGCATCTGCGCCCTCTGAGGCCGCAGGTGGAACTCCCCGCGGGGGCACGATCTGCGCTAGGGTGGCGCCAGGGTAGGCGCGGGCCCAAATGCAATCTTGCCCTCGGAAGCCATGCAACCACCGTCCGAGTGATCAAGTATGCCGCCCTGCGCGCCGGGCCCGCAGACCGTCTGCGGGGCTTCTTCTGGGGCTGCCGTCCGCCGTGGGGGATGCCGAGGTGGGTGCGGGCCCTGCATGCGCCCGCGCCCACTGAGACCAGAACTCAGTGGAGCTCCACAAGAAGGGGGGGCACGCCCCTTGTCAGGGGTGTGCCGAGATGGGCGCGGGCCCGCATGCGCTTGGGTCCACGGGAACCGTCGGCGGAGCTCCTTCCGAGGCCACGGGCCTGGCCTGCATGAGGGGTGCCGGCAGGAGCGCGCACAGGCGTGCGCCTGCCCCAAGTGGGGGCCCCGGGTGGAGTTCCTCGTGGGGCCGCGATCCTCGGGAGGAGTCTGCCGACCTGGGAGCGGGCCCGCATGCGCTTGCACCCGCTGAGACCACGCGTGAGCTCACCACTGTGGGCCACCGTGGGCCGCTGTGGGGCCGCTGTGGGCTGCTGTGGGCTTCCATTCTCGTGTGGGCCACTCTGGGCCGCTGGTCTGCGCGCGTCTGCGCCCCACCGAGGCCGCAGGTGGGGCTCCGTCTGGGGCCACGATCGGCGCGGGGGGTGCGCCGAAATTGGTATGCGGAGAGCAGCGGCAGGGAGAGGAAGACGGGAGGCGAGGGTGGGGCGCAGGATTCAGGCGAGACGCGTGGCGCAACCTCATTCAAAACGAAGACCCAACAATTCGGAGTGTGTGTGTGTGTGCGTGTGTGTTAACTAAAGCCAAGCGAAGGTCCCGTGGACCTCGCACACCGCGGTCGCTTCGTGCGACGGATATGTTGGGAAGGCTCGAGGTCCCACCCGGCACACTCAACCGAATGCGTAACGGTGGTACTCCACTTCGCTTCCCTCCCCGGCATATCAACATTTACAACTACCTGCTGTCTTGCCTTCTGCTCATCCTCCTTCCTCATCCTCACACCATTCCTACTCAGATTGTCCACCTCCACCTTCCGTGCCGTTCCCCTTGCTACTCCTCCGTGTTCCACCTCTACGTGCTAATTGGCCTGTGCATTCCAGTGTCAGGAACGCGCCTTGCATGTGGCACGCTAGCAAGGAGGGAGCCGAGGGCAGGGGATGGAGAGGATATGGGCAATATGGAGCGAGAGAGGACGGATGGATGTATGGATGGATGGATGGATGGGTGGAGGGCGGTACGGCCGAGAGAGGGAAGCGGCAAACTGGTCCTGGAGTTCAGCCCGCCGCTCCCTGGCCTCCGAGATGGAGGCGTTGTCGTACTTGTGCCCTCCGTTGGCCTTGATCACGTGCTTGATCTCCTCCGCCCGCCGGGAGCAACTCGAGCACGGGGCGCCAGACCGATGCAATCACGCCGCTGGCTCTGCCATCCGAACCGGAGGAAGATATAGAAGGGGCGGGGGAGGGCAATGCAGTGGAGACGAGAAGGAGAGAAGCGCATGGGAAGGAGGGGTAGAAGGGCAGGGGACGGGATGGTGCGAGCGGCAGGACGACGATGATCATAATGATGGAGAAGGAGAAGAAGAAGGAAGAGGAGGAGAAGGAGGAGAAGGAGCAGCAGCAGGAGCAGGAGGAGGAGGAGGGGGAAAAGGAGGAGAAGGAGGAGGAGGAGGAGGAGGAGCAAGCAAGCAACACCTGGGCAACTGGTGTCTCTCGCTGTCTGGCTCACCTCTGCGGGGTGAAACCTCTAGCCCTGACGATCGCTGCTGGTAAACGCAATGCGCATCTCGAGCAAGCCTGCGGGACTTCATAGCCCATCGCGGACCTTCAAAGCCCGCGTTAGCGCGAAGGCGCACCACACTTCATTCAACACGCTGTGGGCTGAGGCTTAGAGCGCTTGGGCCCATCCCCTCAACCTCCGGGCTGACGGGTGCGGAGGGAGGCCCCAGGGAACTTGGGGCCATCGAAAGCGAAAACCGTGCATCGATCCCATCGGACCGCGCTCGACATGTAGCTGTGCGTGCGCCTTCGTGCTTCGATGTCGTCCGTCCTCACTCCCCCCTCATCCTCATCCTCACACTCCCCCGCCTCCCACTCGACCCCATCTGAGCAACTAGCCAGCAGGAGAAGGATAGCATAGAGAGCCTTTGCTGCTATCAGAGTCAAGTTTAGATAGAAGTAGAACTGCACCGTTGCTCATTGACTCAAGCAGTCGGCAAGGTCACCTGTCTTGCCGATCTCTCTACTGCTAAAGCGTCTGCGATTTACTTCTCGGTCTGTCCGCTCTCAACCAGGAAACGATCCCGAGACAGAGAGGACAGAAAAACAAAACACGAAACGAACGCTCAAACAACATCCTGGCACAGGAAGCCCAAGATACCCTCAGCTCGCACTGTCGAGCTCAACATGGCGTGAGCCTGCATCGATAGCCGTCACACCGCTTCATTCCCCTCTCTTGAGATCACGGAGCAACTGACGAGCTCGTGCGCTGCCTGCCTGAGCCATGTCACGTAAGCCGTCTAAATCGATTGTTCCTACACCGCTGCCTGCACCGCTCGCTCCAGTGCTCCTGGTGGTGGGCCCCCGATCTTCACGATGCCACCGCTGGCGACCAAGCCCTTGATGATGTGCAACCGAATCTCTGCGATCGTGGCGTTCGGCATCTCCGATTGGTCGCCTGTCTTCTCCTTGTACCTCTGAACTAGCTGGGGCCTGTGAAACGGGCTGATGGCGATCGGACTCAGCATGACGTGCAACTTGGCCTGATCTGCCTTCTGGTTGTCCTCGTTGTACGTCTTCTTGATACGGAAGTAGCGCGCCAGGTCGTTCAGCTCCTCGCGGTCCATGGCCGTCATTAATTTTGCGAATGGTTCGAGGATCCCCGTGGTATCGTCTGGCAAGACCTGCATCTTCGCGAGCATGGGAATAATACACCCGAAAATGTGCAGATGTGGAGGTCCCAGGTCCTTGCGCTTCTCCTCGGTGCTCAGTCGGTGGTATTCTTGGCCCATCCTGATGCCCTCTGTCGCCACCTGGTGGGTCATCGGGATGATGAGACAGTCCCAAAGCGCCCCCATCAGAATGCGCAACGTTTGCGTGTTGTTGAGCGTCAGCTTCTGTAGCGTGAAGATCCGCTCGTGGATCGTCGCATCCACATCTTCGTCTGGGCCAGCTCCAGCCCCCTTGCCTCGGGCACGTTTGAGCTGCCGTCCTCCGCGCCGCTGCACGCCTGGTGCGGCCGCCCCTGCCGCCCCTTGCGCTGGTGCCTATCATCCACGACATGGTCAGGCGGCCCCGCTGCGTGCTGCTTGGCGTGATCGAGATGTAAGGGAAGCTCTGAGGTGATGTAGCTGCACAGTGCGCACTGGTAAGTCGGTGCCTCTGTCGGCACAAACTCGAACGACACGGCTCCGGTCGGACATCGCATGGGGCTCGCTCGTGACATGGTCCAGACGTGCCTCGCGCAACTTGCCCTGGATGCAAACGCCCTCCGACACCATGGGCACGCGTTCGTCGTCGTCAGCATAGAATAAAGCTCCCTCATTTTGTGTTCCTTGTTCAGGTGGCCCGTCAGGGCCCACGTCGTCGTGAACGCGCTCCCGCAGACATCGCCTTCAGGTGCTTCATGTGCGCCAACGTGCTCGTGCATGTCCTCCTCCCCCTCCATATACTCAATCCCCTCGTAGGCTCCCTCCTTCTCCTCCGCCTCGCAGTGCCTGTCGAACAATTGCCTGATGTGCTGTGGGCGTTTCCCGTAGAACACCTTTCGAAACTCCTCTTTCGTGAAGAAATCTAACAGCCCCTCCCTCGAGTTCCACGCTTGTGCAAACCGAGAAGCTGGGTCGATCTTCGCAAAAATCAAGGTCGTTGTGAACCTACCTGGCCCAGGTGGTGCTAAACTCGTTGAGGTCTCCTGCTGGTCCCATGCGTGGCCTGTCTACTGCGAAGTCCATCTGAGTGCTTCCGAAGATGCCTGCCAAGACCTGGGAGTGCTTCTGGGGGTGCCGAGACATTTTCTGATACCACCTGATCCTCTGAATTCGGAGCTCCACGGCGGCTCACGACAACTTGTGATGCACGAACACCTGTGCGTGCTTCTCGCCTCGAACCTTGTCGTCTATTTCCACTGTCGTCCCTCGGCTGAGCACGCGCAAGAATCTGCTGAATGCCGCGTCGAGCTTATCTGTGAAGCTGCGTGGAAGCACAAACCCAGTGAGTCCTGACAGACCCGCGCTCTGCACATACGCGATGAAAAGAAGCCATCGCATGCGAGGTGGCACCGGTTCGGACCAAAGCCTCCCCAGCGATCTCCAGCGCGCCCTCGCTGCCCTAATGCGCCCTTGGAGCTCGGCGCGCAGGCTGCCGTCGAAAGAGAGCGTAGATCCTAGTACACGTGCCTCTCGGACTATGCTGCCTACGACCGTTCTAGAAGCTGCCAAAGTCCTGACTGCTGCGAACGACCCCTTCCCGATGACGTGCGTGATGTGATTTGCTTTGCTTTCGTTCAGCGTGTGCCCCGTCTCCCCGATGCATGCGCTCGACTTGCTTGTTGCTGTGTTTAGCTGCAGCTTAATGGCACTCGGTGACGCGTCGTGTGCATGTATATGTACTCTAGATATGTCGTCTACGTGCAGCCCGATCGCACGCACAAAGACCTAAGTCTTCCACCCGCTCGACTACTCCCATCCCGTCTTCCTCCTTCAGCACGCTGTCGCATTGCAGCCGCGTGTGGGTGTGATCACGCGCAGCTAGTTGCTCGTTCCATTTAGTGACTTGCGGCGTGTGCACTGAGATAAAATCCCCTGCGGCCATTGCATGCCCCATTGTCGTACCCCGTGCAGGTTTCATGTCTAGGTTGCCGTCGATCCCGTCCGCGTGCACGACTAGGTTATCGATCGCTTGCTTAGACAACTCGATATTGTGCTCGTAGTGCTGCGCGCAATACAGTGTCCTCAAGTGCCCTCTGTCCGTGCTGGCGACGCGTTCGTGCCAAAATTGCTCATAGTGTGGCTCAACTTCAAGTCTCTACACCTCCAAGTCGCACTGCTCAATGCGAAGAGAGCTCCCTCCCGTCGTCGTCCTGGGATTCCTCCACGTGCAAACGAGGGGGGCTTTGGCGGGTCCCTGACTCGCCGAGCCAACTGGCCGAACGAACTCATACTGCTAGAATCGAAACAATGTAAACCCTCTTTCCTTTGATGCCGAGCTCTCCGTTGTCCTTGCTCTGTGCGAACATCTGCGATCGGGGGAAACTGAGTGGCACCTGGTCCGTCTCTCTCACCAGCGTTACAAACTGCTGGTATTTGTGAAGAAATGCCTCTGGCGTGATGTCCACCTCCCATTCATTGCCCGTAGGGTCTTCTGCGCTGTGGTAGGTCGGGGGCAGTAGCTGCAACGGCGCCTCTGCATGCACTCCCCATGGTGGTGTGGCTCTCCGCTTGGGCGCCTTCTTCAAATAGCGTATCTGCCCTTCCAGGTCAGCCTTGGCGATTTGGATGGCACGGTCTCGTTCGAGTACCTTCGGGGGGAACTGCACGTCGTCAAGCGCGTTGTCCCAGTCTATGATGTCCGCGCTCATGCCTCCCTGATGTGGTGGAAGCTGGAGTCCGTGGCGCCACTCTGCGACTGTCATGCCCTGGCGCACCGCGAAGATGCACCTCTTCTTGGGTCCTCTCCCTGTCGATGTCGGATTATTGTTTATCTGGTGCATCTGCGCCCGCTTCTGCTGCTTCCAAACGTCCACCAGTTCGTGTAGAAGTGCTTGCCGCGTGTCCGCCGTCTGCTGCTTCCTCAGATTCTGGAGCTTCCGATGTGATGATGGGTTCTTGTCGGCTCCCTCGGCTCTCATCCAGCCTCGTCGTCTGATCAGCTCCATACGCTTCTTCCTATTCGTCTCGCACTCCTCAGAGCGGCGTGGTCCAGGAGGAATTACTTCTGCTAGGGCCCCCCATACTGCTCCACCTAGGTGGTCCCAAACGGCTTGAACGTTGTTGCTCTGCATGGCGCTCTGGTAGTTCTCGTCGTCCTCGGCAAGCTTCTGCGTAACGGCGTCTAAATACTCCTTCCTGCGGTTCCCCGTCGTCTGCGCGCTCATCAGGCTGTCCCTGTTGGCAGGCGGGGAGTGCGGGTTCACCTTGTAAGCCTTCTTTGCAACCTCAATCTCTACGTAGACAGGCACATGGTCCTCCAATGTCGCACTAGGTTGGAGTTGGAGCTTGCGTCCCAATTTGATCAATGTATTCAACTTCTGAAAGCTGGGGGTCGCAGTCGTAGGGCATATGATGTGGTCTATCTTTGAGGTCGCGCCTCTCTGAAACAAATGTAGGACCAGTATTCAACAAAAATCGAAGCTACGCTCATG